TTGTTCTATTTGTGTTAAGTTATTTATAATAAGTGAAGTTTACTGCACTGAAGTCAGACTCATTTTGAATAATAAAGTTTGTTAAATTGTTAAATACCCTGCCTCCACTACATAGGCCTATGTTTGTCACATCATTATAAGTGTTTGATCACCACATTTGAGTTATTGCAAAAAAATGTGTTTTTGTATATATATTCTGTTTATGTAGGCTATATACTGTATTCCATATATAGTACTGTCAAAAGTTTGGAGACACGAATGGGAAGTGTGTCCAAACTTTTGACTATACTGTACTATAATATAGCCTACACATAAAGAATATCTTTTTTTACTCCCTAATATCGGTATCGGCCCCCAAAAAACCCATATCGGTCAGGCTCTAATCAACAAGATTTTTTCTACTGGCTCGGTCGGACACACACAGTCGGGCCAGTGGTTCAAATTTTTACTTGCCCTGCCAACATTTTCCCTGGACCTGCCACAAAAAAATAAAATAGTTTCTGTTATCATTGTTTTTGATCTGTTAACTTGTATTCTAATAAATAAGCTTATATGACACCAATATTTTAGATACCAATTAAATTTTACAATTCTCTATTTAAATTTCGATACCACCGCAAAAATCACTAGCCAAAATTAAACATAAATATAAAGTTTAAACATTATTAAAGACAAGTGACAGCCAGTAAATAAGAACAAATGAACAAATTACAATAGCACAATTAAATATAGGCCTATAGCACAAAAATAGAAATGAAATGATGCTTTAGGTTTTCATGTTCGTAGATGTTCAGGAACAGAAACTGAAAAAATCACATAAAATAACATTAGCATATTCTTCACTCCGTGTTGCACCTTGATTTTTCATAGCCATTTGAAATTAGAGGCAACCACTGCATTTTAATCTTGATCCAAACAAAGATGCTGTATACATGCAACACGAGCACTTTTTAATCTAAATTAAATTGTATAATTTCGAAATTTGAAGCAAAAACAGAATGGTTTGACTTCAGTTTTGTGAAACTATACATAAAAATATCTGCATGAAACAGCAGAGCTGAATGAGACGCAGATTCACTCTCTGCCAGCAGGTGGCGCTTAAAGCGTTTCCGCTGTGAACAAAGGAGCGCTGCACTTATGAACTTTAAGTGACGTGACATGTGGCCAAGTATGGTGACCCATACTAGGAATTAGTGCTCTGCATTTAACCCATCCTAAGTGCACACACACAGCAGTGAACACACACACACACCGTGAACACACACCCGGAGCAGTGGGCAGCCATTTATGCTGCGGCGCCCGGGGAGCAGTTGGGGGTTCGGTGCCTTGCTCAAGGGCACTTCAGTCGTGGTATTGAAGGTGGAAGAGAGCGCTGTACATTCACTCCCCCCACCTACAATCCCTGCGGGTATGAGACTCAAACCCACAACCTTTGGGTTACGAGTCCGACTCTCTAACCATTAGGCCACGACTTCCCAATATGCATTATACAAGATGGCAAGATGAATAGAAAAAATACCATCTAAACTTTTCTAAAGTTCCCCTCAGACATGCATTCATATAAACTCCTACCACCCCTAATTGAATCGCGATTTGTTTAGCATCTCAACCGATTTGAATCGTCACATATTTGAATCGATTTTCAACCGGCTCGCGGTTAATCATTACATCCCTAATTTTGAGTAATAGCTTACGTCATTTTGCTTCTTAAGTATGTTTCATGATTTTAGAATATTTCGATATTTGTACTAGACGACAAGACAAATATACCAAGTAAGAAAACTATTTTTGCAATGCATGCACAGCTGATGTCAGCAGAAAAGAAAAGTAATTTCAGAGCAAGACTAAGTTAATACATTTTAACTGAAGATCACATAGAATTTTCTGCTATGGAATAACATGCACCAATTGACCAGGAACGTGCATTAAAAAGTAAATGGGGTCAAACTTGACCTTATGTTGCCTTTACGTCATTCTTTTACAGTATTTTTTGTCCTTGTGGACATCACTCACTTAGGTGGTTTCTCCACAGTGCGGTATGTATTGAAGGCCTGTAGCTGGTTCTGAACCGCACTGAGCGAGTTAGCGAGCTGACGATCATTAAGGGTAACAATGGTTTGTTCAATCCACTGCAGCAGCTCTGAGGCCAGAGTCTCGTATTTCTCAATCAGCTGATCTGCTTCGATGGCATAGTCCAGCACCTACAGAAACAAATACACCCCTATTCACTTAACAGAATGACCCACACTTACAGAAAAAGAAACACTTGTACACATGTAAACAAGGGTAGACTGTAATTCTCTCTCAATCTCCATGTACCTTGCCGATTCTCTTGCCCTCTACGGCAAGCGCCTTCATCTTGCTGAAGTAGTGGTAGTATGTAGCCACATATGTGATGATGGACTTCTCATCAGGCTGATCAACATTCACATCTAAAGAGCAAGAGATAAGACAAATACATCAGCTAGTTAATAATAAATAAGATGTTCATTCTTTTCATTTGGCAAATCTGGTGTTTCAAAATCTGAGTGTTTGAGGGTAGCTCTGTCTTTATTATCTGGCTAAAAATGATGCATGCATTTGCTATTTATGCCCATATATGTATCTCACCCTCTGGATCCAGTAGCTTGGTAAGACCCAGCTCCTTCTCTGCCACATTAAAGGCATTCTGCAGGTTATAGTGGGCATTAGAGCGCTTGAGATTATCAAAGTCAATCAAGTCTGACCTAAGAATGAGAAAGACAGCAAGAAAAAAATCAACAAGAAAGTTATTTTAAACTCCAAGAGAACATTTCAGTTTGTAAAAACCCTGCAATACACTTTTGCAAAAAAAGAGGGAAGCACTCCAACACTGCAAAGAGAGAGTGAGGGATTTTTTCCTTATTTAGGTCAACTTAATTTAACTTTTATTTTTTCTGTTCCTCTGCATGAAAAAACTGCAGAAGGAACAAAGCTGCTGGGCGACAGTTGAGAGGAAAGAGCAAAAATTAGGAGCTAGTGGGACTGTTGAGGATGAGAAGAACAGAAAATCCTACTGGGACCAATTTGTTTATAATGAAATTATTTCTTAGGAATAAGAAATAGGAAATATACAAACATACAAAATCATACAATACTGTACAATACACAGTTGGGACCTTATACATGCTTCTATTTTGCATTTAATGTCTTAGTAATAATAATTACAAACCATAAAAATCACTCTTTCGCTTTAATGACAGCAAGTTGTCCAAAAATATGGACTTGGAGTGAATAGGCTATTACACAATTTAAAAGTCTCAGAAATTGCAAATTTAGAGTGATTCTTTCAACTTCTGCATTTATATGCACTTCTGCAGAACAAAATTAAAATTCCAGAATGCCGCTGGTGGTTGAAGCCCCTAGGCCTCTCTGTATGTGTGGGAACATGCTGAAGAATGAAGGGGCATGGAGTGCGTGAGCACATGCTACTATGTGGAAATCGTAGTCATACCAAAGCTTGTCATGTGTTTGAGAACCAAAGCCTTGTACTGGTGTACTTGTATGACAGTGTGTGCGTGTTTGTGAGCTCAGATCGATACCTGTGTTTGTGCACTATGGCATTGAACGCTAGACCATCTCTCCAGCTGGTGGTAAAGTTGTGGACATTGACATTTGGGTACCTGAAAGGAGAGTAGCTTTCATTAGTACAGGACCAGAACTAGCATATTTAATAAAGCATCATAGACTCGCTCATTCACTTCATTTCTTTTTCTTCCACTCTTACCCTGCAGTCTTCATCTGACACCACAGCAGCAGAGCATCTTTGGCTGATTTCTTCTCCTTGTTGTCCTCTGTCTCAACGCTAATGTCTTGGATCTGTTCAAACAAGTGAGATGCAAAGCATGTTACTGTATAAACTGCATATCATTTCCATTTCCATTGATGCTGTCTTTGTTTATGTTCTATAAGCTGTTGAGTTTTGTATACACTACTGAGAATTTAACATACTGTAACCACTACCTGAATTTTTGGGAGTAAAATTAATTAATTTGTAGAATGCAGTTGTCACTCCTATAAATAACCAAACACTGTGTGTACTATACATGATTCAGCACTCAGAAAAGCAGTGACAACTCTGTTTAGCTATGTGTACATGGCCTTTAAGTGATTTAACACAAACAAGTCATATAATCCAATGAAATGTTTGCTGACAATCACATCTTTTACTGGTCTTTTATACACTACCATTCAAAAGTTTGGGGTTGGCAAGAGTTTTAAAATATTTTTTAAATAAGTATTTTATGCTCACCAAGGCTGTATTTAATTAATCCAAAAATATTTAAAATATTTGTATTCTAATTTAATATATTTGAAATGTGATTTATTCCTGTGATGGCAAAGTTGAATTTTTAGCATTGCTCCAGTCTTCGGTGTTTCATGATCCTTCAGGAATCATTGTAATATGATGATTTGGTGCTCAAAAACATCTCTTATTATAATCAATGTTGAAAACAGTTGTGGTGTTTAATATTTTAGTTTAAACTGTGATACATTTTTCAAAAGAACAGCATTTATTTGAAATGTAATTTTTATAACAATATTTTTACTGTCACTTTTGATCGATTTAATGCATCGTTGCTAAATAAAAGTATTTCATAAAAAAAGTCTTACCCCAAAATTTGAAGGTTGCGCAAATATGACTTTTCATATTATATTAATCACATTTACAATACTGTATATAAAATAAATGATTACTACATAAAATAAAATGGTAGTAGATAAAAAATTATTTACTCCAAATGCTTAAAAAGCTTTCGTTCCATCATGCTAACAGTGTGCAGCTCTAGATTCTATAGATCTGTATCACAGCCCAACAGAACTCTTGCCGAGAGATATCTTAAAACAGGCTGAAATATCGACAAACACGTACACTAACGCAGAACTTAACACTGCCAAGCTTCATTAAGTCTGTTAATAAAGTCATCTTGATCCAGTTCAGACTATATCCCTACAATCATTTATAATCTGCTGGGATTCATTCAGCAAAGAATGAAAAGAAAAAAGTCTTATATCTTTTGTAATTATGTCATTGCTGCAATATAATAAAACACAAATCAGCAACATCGTCACAAACTAATCAGAAGCAGTGATGAAACACAGTGTGCAGTCCGGATCAGTCTGCTTTGATAATTAGCATGTTTCAATAGAAGTAATTTTTAAAATTTTTGAAAATGTACAGGCCTATCAAAAGGGCAACAAAGTGGCAGACAAAAATATGCTAATTATACTTCATTGTGAATAGATGACAGACTGATACAGCAAAGAACAAACAAATAAATAAATAAATAACAGAACTGGGTTAAAAGAAGACAAAAGATCACAATAATGACCGATAATCACACACTCTGCCTAAAACCTTTTTTGGGATCAACATGTATGTCTATGAGTCAAACTCCCAAGTCAGGATTATATTTAATATTGTGGGCTGCACTACACAATTACAACCAGTGCACCAAAACATTGGCATGAACACTGATTTAATTAAAAACAGGTGATGCTGTTTCTTCAGTGACAAGTAAAAGATGCCATTTCTCTGGCTTAAAGTCTCCACCTGTCTGTCTCTCTATCTCTCACACCTCTAATCAAAGCCACGTCCTCTTACCTGGAAACGGAGAATTATGGTCCAAATGAGTCCAAGTGTGAGGCGGTGGTTTCCATCAACAATGTCATGAGAACCCATATTCTCCAGATGAACCTTTTGTTCCTTCAAGAATTGCAGAGCCTTGTCAACGTTCTCCAGACAGTGGATGCGCATACGGCCCTTGGTGGGCTTTGGCTGAGTGAGAGAACAAGGTAAACAAATGTAATAAATGAAAGTGTACTGATTATCACAGCAACCCAGCGTTTGATTGATAGAAGGCCAGAGGAATAAGAATATCTTATTCGGAATAACAGGCTTATTAGAGATGGATACATGGATAGATGTATGCAAGGATGGATGCATGTATGGCTGGATGGATGAGTGAATGGATGGCTGGATGAATGGATGCATGCAAGGACGGATGCATGCATGAATAGACTGATGGATGCACAGATGGATGAATGGATGGATAGATACATGGGTGGATGCATAGATTAATGGATGGATGGAGGGATTGCTGACCAGTTGTTCCCCAGAGAGGACCTCCAGCAGTCGGATAAGCATACGTCCATCGCGGAGGTCAGTGTAGAGGTCACCAATCCTGCAGGTCACGCGGCCCAGGTGAGAGTTCACCCATTTAGTGAAGGTCTTCTTCTGCACCGCTTCTCTCTCATCTGGAAGAAAAAAAGTAAAAAATAAGTTTTAAAAGGACATACTGAAGCCAAACCTGTGAATGCATCTAAAAAAATTATCTAAAAAATACACATCATGTAAAAAAACAAAAACAAAAACAAAAAAAAACTCCATAAATGTTCCTGCTACATGCCATGTCAGGTCATGAATGACATGCAGTGACCGAGGATTGACTGTAACTCTAAATTCTATTAAAGCAACTCAATTACTGCAGTGCATTGACAGTTTGACTGATGGCTGCCCACATTAATCAGAGCAGACCTCACTCACAGCCAGCCAATTACATGACGGGAGGGGTGGGACTCCACAGCAAAAAGCATCGTATGACGTTATAAAGCATGTATATATAAAAAATGTGTATCTGCTCATAAGATTGATCAATGAATGATAAAGACAGACAGAAAAAGACCAAGACGGACAGGAAGAGAACAGGAATGCTTAATATGACTGCAGACAGATGAATGTCTAAGGAGCAAAGAAGTGTGCAGCATTAGCGTGCAGGAAATGTGAAAGCATATGGGGCTGGTCAGTAAGAGGCTCAACCGAATGCTGTCATCTGAATGACCTTTACTGAGGAAGAGCAAGCTGTTTATCACAAATACTACTACATGCTACCCCTCACTACCACCTATATTCAGAAAGACTGAGCGAGAACTACTGTGTTGTGTCGCATGCACTAATACAAGAAGATAATTCCTGTGACAAGTTTAAATGAAGCATGGTAATTTAATTGCTGATGAGAAAAATGTCACGAGCACAAAACACCTCAGTCATTAAACAAACACGTAAATGAAAACAAAAAGTATTCTCGTAGCTTCGCAAAACTGAAGTAGAGCCACTGATGTCACATAGACTGTTTTACCGATGTCCTTACAACGTTTCTGGACCTGGGAACATTACAGTTGCGTTGCTGTCTATGCAGGGTCTGAAAGCTCTCACATTTCATCAAAAATATCTTAATTTGTGTTCCGAAGATGAACGAAGGTCTTACGGGTTTGGAACGACATGAGGGTGAGTAATTAATGACAGAATTTTTCATTTTTGAATATTCAGCTTTGTGATAATTACGGTTTAAATACCAAATGACATATTATAAGCCTATAATTGGAATGTTATTTGTTGTATGTTAAAAATGTTAAAAACATGTTATTTCATGGTTTTGAAGAGGCAGAGACTTATATTAGTTGCATTACATGTGGCTGTAGTAATCTTAAGCCACAGTCAAAAGAATTTAGAATAGAGAACAGGGCTTGGTCCTTTTGCTTCCACTGATATGATCACACTCTCACTCGCCTACAGATTCGTTCAGGGAAATGCTCCACACAACTGAGGAAACCTGTTCTGCTGGCCACCGACACTGAGAGGAGGGACGGTGCTTTCAAGCACACAAACACGCTTACATGCAGATAATGGCAGAGAATGCTCCGCTTTACTGGTTGGAATGCACAGACCTGCACAGTACTGAACAATGATGTTTTAATTACATATGAAAATCTATTCAAATTAGAACATTTTGTGTGATCAAATATTGGAATGCCATTTCAGAATATAACTGCCAGTAGTAACTCACACACCCACACACTACATGAGGTGTCCAAGGGCATTGTGCTTTAAGAGAATAAATATTTAGCTTTTACCAAATAAAAAGAATGTGTATTGACCAAACAGGCCTAAAACTGCAGTGAAGGGTCAGTGTGTGTGTTATCAGAGTTGTGGTGTTCTGGTACTTTAGCCTTCATCTGTTTAGAAATGAGGAGACCTTGAGCATTCCACACCAAGGAGGAGGACACACACACACACACACACACATAAAGGAAGCAGAAGGGAGTCTGAGGACTGTGACCTGCTTTACAATGCAAATAGGAACAAGAGGGTACAGCAGTCATTTGACCATTAAGATGGATGGTCAATATGAACAGATAATCAGTAAATGCCTGCCTGGTATTCAGATTGCAGGGATGCAAACTCATCATGGGTGAAAAAGGTGAGAAAGACAAGCAACCATATAGAGATGACATTAAGAAATGTGCCAAAAATCCTGGTGGAAAATAAAAACTTTTAAGATGACAACTCCATGAAATTACCATTATATCCAGTAGATGGAAGCAGAGGATCACTCATCAGCTCAGTTGCAATTTCCACTCCCTAATTTTCACGTCTTGATTTTGAATTTATTATAAAATTACTATTAACAAATTTTAGTACTGTACTGAAGTAGTATAGCAAGTACAATTAAATAATAATGCATTAAATGTTTTTAAATATATTTAGATTTTAAACATTGCCTTAAAAAAGACACATTAAACTGAGTTTTAGTTTTATCTTGAACTGTAGAAACTGCTAAATATTTTCAGGCAACACAGACTTGTTGCTGTTGTAGTTTTGTTACTCTGAATTTAGACTGCATCACTTAATGCACAGGTCTATTTTTGACATTGGCTTGTCAGATCGTTTGTTCCACTCAGAGCTACAGTTATCACTGTCAATCATAGCAATGACTGGCAGAACAATTTAGCGGATTCACTCGTGTAATTTTTTACACTCGCATTTGTCACTCCTGAAACAGTATACATGGACGTTCGGTCCATGAGCTGCCCCTGGAACTTACGTGATCAGCAACCAGCCGTTTTTTGTCTTATTGCAAGTCGTCTCTGTTCTGGATCACTCACTGTTAATGGTGCACAAACTATTGTCCTCAATATTGATTTGGGGGTTTATATAAATGTGTTTCTGAGGGGAACTGACCGTCTTCAGAAAAGTTTACGTGGTATTTTCTTTTCATCTCGTCTCTGTATAGTTCATATTAAAGCAGTGTTTCAGCGCAGCACTGCTTTGTTTACAGCAGTACCCAAGGAAACGCTGTATCTGGTGTTCCAGAAGCGCCTCCTGCTGTTCAGAGAGTGAATCTGCATCTCATTCAGAGCTTCTGCTGTTTGTTTACTTCAGGCATGTAATATAATTTCACAAAGCTAGTCAGAACATTCTGTTTTTGCTTCAAATTGGGTTAATAAATCAAATTATGTATATGAAATTATATAACTAAATTATATGAAACAATATAAATTATATGTACATGAATTATATAACTAAAATTAAATAACTGTAATTACAGATTTAGGTTAAATAAAGATTTAAGTCTTAGGGTTGGGAATCTGAAATCGATTCCGATTCCAGAATCGGATACTTAAGCCCTGTTCACACCAAGAACGATAACTATAAAGATAACGATAAAGATAACGATATTAGCGTCCACACCAGCGAACGATATCGTCTGTGTATTCTTGCGCATGCGCGTCTGCCACTTTAAATTCTTGAGCTCGTTACAGCAGGATGGATTTTGATTGGCTGTCAATGTTTCTATCGTTCATCAGCTGGAAAAAAAACGTTCTGAAAATTATTCCAACGATATGGTTTCTCTGTGCCTTTATCGTTATAGTTGTAGTGTGGACTATGCTATTCTTTAATATTGAGAATGATTTTTATAACTATATCTTTATCATTATCTTTATAGTTATCGTGCTTGGTATGAACGGGCCTTTAAGGTCAGGAATCGGATACTTGTTGTCAAATTAAAATTTCGATTCCGCCTATCGATTCCTATGCACTTTTTTTTCTTCATCTGTGAGGACCGGACCTAGCGATCTGCCAGGACCTTGCTCGCTAATCTAGGCGCGCAAAAGTTTGGCTACATTTGCGATCAGATGCCAAAAAAGCTAAGTATAATATATGTGATAGCTAAACATGTTGCAAGAGAGGTGTCACTACCAACATGACAAAGCACTTTAATTTAATAGATTGTTAAATATCGCGAACACAATTTAAACACCAACGTGATTCTATTCCTAAATTACGATTCGTCTGTTTCATTCCTCAGCCTTTGACGTGTGCGATCAATGTTGTGATCACTTGGTTCGTCCGTGCAGTGCAAGATCTCACTAGTGTGATTTGAACACTTAAATTTGCATTAGCGCAGCCATTGACCTAAAGAGAGCAGCTGTCTGTCATGAATGAAACCGCTTCACAGTATCATTATTTCTGTGTTACAAACATTCAAATCACAGAAGTACTGGGATAAAAGTTTATAGTTCAGATATAAACTGTGTGTACGATGTTTATGGTAGTGATTAAAATAGAGTAAATCACCTTTTGAAGGTAATTTGATACTTCCAATGAAGATTATCGATTACATTGTTACACCAATAGGTGGCGAAAAGGGGCTGTTAAAATGCATTTGTCATTGAATTATACAAAAGGTTCGTTCAAGAACACTGATTCATCCAGTAATGAAACAAGTACATCTTGAGTGAGTCATTTAATCATTCATTCATAAATTACATTTATTTTGTTTAGTTGTCTAATGTTTTTTTTCTCTTCAGAATCATGAGAGAACCACAACTTCCATTGGGGGGAAAAAAGAGGCAGAGACTTATATTAGTTGCATTACATGTGGCTGTAGTAATCTTAAGCCACAGTCAAAAGAATTTAGAATAGAGAACAGGGCTTGGTCCTTTTGCTTCCACTGATATGATCACACTCTCACTCGCCTACAGATTCGTTCAGGGAAATGCTCCACACAACTGAGGAAACCTGTTCTGCTGGCCACCGACACTGAGAGGAGGGACGGTGCTTTCAAGCACACAAACACGCTTACATGCAGATAATGGCAGAGAATGCTCCGCTTTACTGGTTGGAATGCACAGACCTGCACAGTACTGAACAATGATGTTTTAATTACATATGAAAATCTATTCAAATTAGAACATTTTGTGTGATCAAATATTGGAATGCCATTTCAGAATATAACTGCCAGTAGTAACTCACACACCCACACACTACATGAGGTGTCCAAGGGCATTGTGCTTTAAGAGAATAAATATTTAGCTTTTACCAAATAAAAAGAATGTGTATTGACCAAACAGGCCTAAAACTGCAGTGAAGGGTCAGTGTGTGTGTTATCAGAGTTGTGGTGTTCTGGTACTTT